TCAGAGCCTGGAGCCTGTTTCAGATTCTGTGTCTCCCTCTCTCTCTGACCCTCCCCCATTCATGCTCTCTCTCTGTCTCAAAAATAAATAAAGGTTGAAAAAAAAATTTTTTTAATAAAAAATAAAAAATAAATAAATACAAAGTTGGTTAAAGTTCGCAATGAAGATTTAAAATTTAAAAATGCATACCCTGTTTTATTTCTTTTCCCAAAGGTTATATTCTGCTTCCAAAGTGAAATGTTCTGCTGTTGATTCTCTGCTGCCTTTAGAAAGTAAGAGCAGCCTTGGGGCACCTGGGTGGCTCAGTCACTTAAGCGTCTGACTTCGGCTCAGGTCATGATCTCGTGGTTCCTGAGTTCGAGCCCCACATCAGACTTTCTGCTGTTAGCCCAGAGCTCACTTTGGATCCTCTGCCCCCCTCCCTCTGTCCCTCCCCACCACGCACACTTGAAAATAAAAGAAAGTAAGAGCAGCCTGTATCTTCGATCAAGAACTCAGAGTCAACAAAACTTCCATTTGGTTTTAAAAAGCGTGTGTGTGTGTGTGTGTGTGTATGTGTGTGTGTGTGTGTGTATACATGCAGATGAGCATGTGTATGAGAACACTAGAAGGAAATATATACCAAAATGTTAACAATGAAAAATAAAACTGTCATTTAATAATCTCTATGCTCAGGGCAAAAGACCCTAAAAAATTAAGGTTAACAATTTGTGTGAAAGATCGAAGACCTAAATGTAAGAGCTAAAACTATGAAATTCTTAGCAGAAAATGGGTATTAATCTATGTGATCTTGGATTAGGCAATAATTTCTTAGACATTACACCAAAAGCACAAGCAACAAAATATAATTAAATTGGACTTCATTAGAATCAAAGTCCAATTCTCCAAAGGACACAGTCAAGAAAGTGAAAAATACTAGAAATCACATGTCTGGTAAGGGATTCTAAATATACAAAGAACTCTTATCACTTAATAATAAAAAACAACCCAATTTAAAAACAGGCAAAGGTTCTGAAGAGACATTCCTCCAAAGAAGATATATAAATGCCAATACATTCTTAAAAAGATGCTCAACACTGTCAGTCATTAGATCACAACAAGGTAACATTCATACCCGCTAGGATGGCTATAAATCAATGACAAGAATGTCAAGAAATCTCAAAGCTCCTACACTGCTGGTAGGAACATATAACTGTGCAGCCACTTTGGAAACAGTCTGGCCGTTCCTCAAAATACAAATTAGAGTTACTATATGACCCACCAATTCCACTTCCTGGGTATATACCCAAGAGAAGTGATGACGCATGTCTGCAGAAAACTTTTTACATTAATGTTCAGAGCAGCATTATTCATAATAGCCACAAAGTGGAAACAACCCAAATGATCAACTGATGAATCAATAAACAAAATGTGACATATCTACATAATAGAACACTATTCAGCAATAAGGCCTGAGGCATTGATCCATGCTACAACATGGATGAACCCTGAAAACATTATGCTGAATTTTAAAAAGCCAGACACAAAAAGCCACAGGTTTTTCATTCCATTTACATGAAATGTCCAGAACTGGTGAATCTGTAGAGATGGAAAGCTTATTAACGGCTGCCCAAGACTTGGCAGAGGCAAAGAGGAAAGACTGATGGGCGACAGCTAGAGGGGACCAAGTTCCTTTTTGGGGTGATAAAAATGTTCTAAAATTGACTTTGGTGATAGCTACACAACTCCGTGGATATACTAAAAACTGCTGAATGGTACACGTTAAAGTGGGGGAATTGTAGGGTATGAGAATTATATCTTAATAAAGCTGTTGCTTTAAAAATATTCCTGAAACACAGCAGGCATTCAATGAATGAGAGAATAAATAAAAAATGAATAAACAGAAACAAACACCAAATATTGCTACATTTCACTGAGTTTTTAGTTTCTTCAATTCAAGCTGAGAATAATGAGAAGATGCCTATAAAGTACAAGTCCAGTACGAGATGCTTAAGAAATGGCAGCTATTATGATGAATTATAATCATAAGCATGTATTTTCTTTGGTGATATGTAGGAATGAAGCAAATCACAATAAGAAATTCTACTTTCAAATTGCCACAGAATATGATTAGACTTAAGATTAAGTTTTATCTGGTGAGAATGATCAGCAACTACCCTTTTTCTATGAGACGTAAACATATCCTAAGTCTGGTTTCCTTCACAGGAAAAAAGAAGCTAAATCCTTCTCAGCCTTGATGGCTGGTTTTGAATCAGAATGAATAAATGGAAGAATGAATAAATGGAAATATACCAAATATGAGTAAATATGGATTTGAAACAAAAGTGGTTTGAATCCTAACTTTACCATTTACTAAGTACTGGATCTCACTTAGGTTTCTTTTCTTCACCTCTAGGTGGGAATGATAATGAGATAGTTAACGCCTATAAAATGTTCAGATAGGAAAAGTCCCTACTGCTTGCTCATTAGCAATCTTAGCATATTAGAGCTACATTAGAAGCAAAAACCAGTGTCAATTATAGTAATATTTTAGTTGGGTGACAGCCTTATAGATGCTCATTTTATTATTACTCTTTAGATTTATATAGTATGCACTCTTTGGCATGTATCAAATACCATATTTTTAAAAAATAGGTCATAAAACAAAACAAACAACAAAAAATAAGGTCTAAGGACCAGGTATTTTTATTTCTTGGTCAATTCATTAGTCAATGAACACCATTTTTCCTAGAGGGCAACAGTCATTTTCACAGCAGAATTTCTCTCCATTATATATAGGCAACTCAAAGCCCAAGTCCTAGATGATCCTTCTGCTGGGGAAAAAAACCTATAAAACCAATAATGACTGCTCAGTTTGAGCCATTTCCTCTGAAATAAGCTGCATTAGGCTAACATGTTTTGCATTAGGTTAACACAAGGTAGGTCTTTAAAACTGAGTGATTTTTGGAAAAACATGAGCACTGTTCTTAGCTGGTTGCACTGACAGCATTCAGCCAAATACCCACAGGGACACTGCACATTAGATCACCACCACTAGCCAGGATGGTGAGAGTTCTCACAATCAGGCACACGGGTAACCACTCTTCCCAGTGTTTATCTGGTGGCTGTCTATCAGGTTTCGTTCGGTAAAGAGAGAATTCCTGTATTCCACAGTGGCTGATATTCTTTACACAGAGACTCACTCATTTCGTTTAAGGCCTTATTCTCTGTTGAAATACATAGACCTTTGGGAGAACTGGCAGATTATGCTTTAACAATCATTTACACTGTAGTGTAATTGAATTCATCAATACAAACTCAGTAATTACACATTTTCTTTCCTCCTCGAATGAAGAAGAAATTTAGAAAAAAGAGGGCAGCAAAAAATGTTTGAGATGAAGAACTGTGGACAACCTCATCGTTCTGCCTGCAACCCAACCTGTCTATTTTTCATGCTGTCAATTTCCAACTAGACAATCCATCAAAGCTCTCAGAAAGAAGTCACGATGAAAGAAGAAATTTAGAGTGTCAGCACAACCCTCAAGGCACCCCAGACTTCAATAGAAATTCCCAAAGTTCAAACCTAGAAACAGGGTCCATGGTAGGAAAAACAAAGGAACCAAATATCTGATTACAGTTTAACCACCTAGGTCACATGTCAGACATGGGAACAGGTCAGTTTCATGGGCAAAAACCTCTGGGTATTACAAATGGAAACAAATAATTAGCTACATGGGACAGAAAGAGCATGACTCAGGATATTTCTGGCAAGTGTAAGCATGAGCAGTTGCAAAACTAAGGAAATTTCTTAACCAAACTAAAACTAAAACTGAGAAAAAGAATATTTACGATTTGCAAACATTCTCTCATGACAAAAGAAATAATTACAGCATCTAATTAGGGTAAAGGAAGAAGAGAAACTATATTTTTTGTGATCCGCTTAAACAAAGGTCTTATTCTATGTTTGTTATTTGTCCTTCACGAAAAAAGAAAGTCAGCCAAAGAGGTGAGTTTTCTTCCTGAGAATGTACTTGGGTGGACATGTGTACAAGCATACACACAAATGGACATACATACATATGTACATATGTACACACACACACACACACACACACACACACAAAGAGCCCAAGTCACCTCTTCAATAGGAACTTCAATTGCCCAAAGGTGAGGACCCAGGTATGTACCAGGCTGACAAATCTCATCAAGAAGAATCCAGAGCAGCCCCTCTCTCTGACCCTCAGGGCATCTTCTCTGAATTAAAAGTTGCAAAGGTCACTGACCTTATCACCTCAAGTTCCACTAGCAACTGAGGAGGGTTTAGCCAGGATTGTCAGCCAATTCAACTGGAAATTATTAAGGGCTTCAGGGACAAAACAGACTAAATAAGTCTTAAATTGTGTATTAACAAATTTGAAATGAACACCACAAATAAAATTAGTTGAGCTACAAACTTAGATTAAAGAATTGGACTAAATCCAATGTTATACTTACATTTTAAAGATAGAAACCTTTGTGCTCTAATTAAATATAATCTGAAACTCTGCATTCAGAAATGTAATAGCCTTAACATAATTACAGTTGTTTGCTATAACCTCTGGTCCCTAAAGAAGGAAAATTATAATTATAAAACAATGGTTTACTCAGTCCTACACCTGAAATATAAGAGCTCAATTAATCAGTCATCTCACACTTGAACTTCCAGACAATATAAATGTATGGGAACCCTATCCATTACTCTATTTTCTATAATATTTAAGAATCAGAATCAGAACTTTACAAAGTGTCGAACATAATGTCAGGAGCTTCTAAGAGTTAGAGCTGACAAAAATACTACCTCTTTTCTGCACTTAAAATCAGTTAGATCATGCAATGAAATTAAAAAGCATTCCTTATTATCACTGAGAAAATCTTAGAAACCCTTGAGTTCAGAAGGAATGTCACTCAGATATTATACCTAATGTGCAAAAAAGGTTAAAGGAACATACTTGTCATGAGAGATGCCCAGTATTAACACTTACACAACCTCCAGCAAGAATTTCTGCTAAAAGTGGAATGGAGCCATCTCTTCTGGTAAATTTGTCCCGGACAAAATCATTAACCTAATCAGAAAGACAACATTGGTTAACTAGAATTCTCAACCATTTCCTCTAATGGCATGTTATTCATTTCCCAAGTCATCAAAATATTTGTCTCATGATAAAATTAAAAATTATCACATCGGGCGCCTGGGTGGCTCAGCTGGTTAAGTGTTTGGCTTCAGCTATGGTCATGATCTCGGTTTGAAAGTTCAAGCCCTGCATCAGGCTCTCTGCTGTCTACACATAGCCCACTTTGGATCCTCTGTCCCCCTCTCTCTCTGCCCCTCCCCTGCTGGTCCCCTCCCTCTCCCTCCCTCTCTCTCTCTCTCTCTCTCTCTCTATGTAAATAAACTTTTAAAAAATTATTAAATGTCTACATAAAACTTTAAAGTTTTACAAATGTCTTGATAGTGTGCCAGTCTCAGCAGCAGCACCATTAATTTTTGGCTTAATGATAATCTAAACAAAAGACATAAATTCAAAGAGAAAGATACTTACAGTCAGTTTAATGGCCTTTTCTGGAGCAACCCCTATAAGCTGTGGTATCAGACCTAGGTAAACAGAAAGAAGCATTAACAATATGAATGTACTAAACATGAACATACAAGCCCAACAAGCAACAGTTTCCCTCATATTATTAATGCATCAAACATTTTAGGGCTTTCATTAAAATATGGAAAAATGGACTATCCTAAAAACTCTGTACTTGTATACAATACTGATGTCAAATATAATGTTATGCTTTCTTGAGGCTATAAATCCTTTTCTTAAGCATGCTTCCTTTAAAGCCTAATTATCTAACACGTCTCAAAAAGTATGTGAGCAAGGAATGGAGACCATGGATCTTCTCTACTCCTGAACATTGCCAATAACAATGTAACCAAATCCCCTCCCTTTACAACCAACAATATACAAACATAGACAGGCACTTTAAAGAAGCCAATGTTGTATGCTTGGAAAACCTCTGCAAAGCCTGCTGTTGAAAAGACCCAGATTTTGCCACAAATGCTGCTACCTATATACTAGCATATAGTGGTTTGGTTATTACAGAACACCAACTTGCATAATTTTCTCTTTATAGAGAAAACCAGAATTCAGTACCATTTATTTTAAAGGAAGCCAAAACTGCAAAGAAAAATGCAGTTTTAAGTATCATTTAATGGATATCTTTTACAAACAAAAACATATGCCTGCTACATTCTTATTTACTAATGTATGTCAAACTTAAGACATTTCAAAAGAATCTTCTTAAAACAAAGGAAATCATTATTCTTAGAAAGTTAAATTTCCCAGGCTGGCTGCAAACTGCAAAAGAAAAAAATATATAAACAATTCAACATCTGTAGATATTCATAAGGCTCAGCTTTGTAAAGCACACAGATTACTCAAATTGTTGGCATACATTTTTTGCATACATTTTTTAAAGATGCTAACAATAAACATTCTATATCCTTTAAATCACCCAGCCAAGGGGGAGTTATGTATGTGTTTGCACACTCACTGCTGATCTTAAGCCTACTTTGAGGATACTGCTGAGTGATTTTCAAAGAGTTGAGAGCCAGCAAGTAATCATACATACAGGCTACTGTCAGTCAAACTGAATTATCAATGACAAACACAAATCTGCACACACCTTTAATGGGTAGCAGACTGATTTAAAAGAATAAATCAGCAGATGGCAGTCTTAACTTTCTAACCTTCATGATTATGAGGCCCTATTACTTTTAATCTAACTTCCATACAACCATGTCAGCATGTGTATTTGTTTTACAACTTGCCTCAATAAGGCTCATGGAATTTTAATAAAGTACTGATTTATGTCATTTTATCACTGTTGCCTGCAAAGAAATTTAGGCTAATCTGTCAACAATTTTGTCAATCATCTGACAGAATAATGGACCAGTTCTAAGCCATATATGACAATCTCAATAATCATAGTGTTCACATACAGGACTCCTACAATCTTCTCCCTAATACAAGAGTCTCTCATTTAAAGAACTGATTTTATCAGCTCACATCCTGGATAAAGCTAACAATCCCTCCACCTCTCCCCCACCCCTAAACTTGCTATATTGGACTCATTTCATTAACATGACATCTCTCCCAAATGAAATTTTCCGTAAGCATCCATCCATTGAGAAGGTTAAACTGTGCAGTATATATCTAGGTTACTTCTGGTAGAGAAAAAGTAAACCAAGGAGGAAGAAAGGTCATTTTTCAACAAAGAAAGAAAAAAAAAAAAAAAACCCTTAGCACCACTCAACCCTCATTAAATTCCTCATTAAATATAATCTAGATATGCAGGGTTTAGTACAGCTTAAAATAAGCATTCCCAGGCAGAGATCTGCATTCTGGACAACACACACCTTCCTCCCGTGGAGTACATGTGATACAGCTGGAATTCAAGGAGGTTAGAGTTCTGAATATTTGAGTAAAATTAACTACATTCATTCTTAGGAGCAGGGTATTTAAGCCTACTTTGATTTCAAAACCACTCTCTTTTCTTATTCTATATAAAATGCCAATAATGAACATCCTCATGACCCTCTCCTTTAACTGTATCAGAGATACATTTTTCACTTGAATATCTGCAAATAATGCTAACCAGAGGTGTTTTTTCCTCCTGTACATGAGCATAAGCTTTGTTCAGGTCCAGTCTTTCTTTCCAAGGAAGAAGTTCTAGGCCAAACAGTTCAACAGAGCTCAGAGTGAGCTAGGGATTAATGAGACTGTGTGTGCAAACAAATAAGTACAGTAAATTACAAAAATGCTCTGGACTTGAGCATGTAGAGAATATTTTCAAAGAATTCCAAGTGGCGCCCAAAGGGATTAAAAAATTAATCTCCCTCCCAAAGGAAACCCTAAATTCTTAAGTGAAAACATGTACATGAAAGTCATTCCCTCTCCAAAGAGAACAAGTTCCTACAAAGCCGACGGGGGTGGGGAGAATTCTACAAGGGGGTTGTTGCCTCTGATGCTGACAGCACTGTGCTCAGCCTAGACTTGGTGGTAACATTCTCTGCAAAAGAAAATCTCTCTGCTTTTACTCACAGTGCCTCTGAGCTAAGGGGAGGAAAGGAGACAGAATGAGACATGAAGCCAAGCGTTTTCTTTTATTCATTTTTTTTTTTTTTTTCTAACTTCAGATGACTCACTGGAAAAAAAGACTTGTGAATGGTCTCCTTGGAAGAGACAAACACATTTGATATCTCTTTCAATTGAAACAAGTGCAGAGAGGGTAAACTCACTTTCAGCTAACTGCCTGGCTTCTATTTCACAGAGCAGAGGCATATCTCTTTTCTCCAACTCTTTGAGAAAAGCAGCACTCTGTTTCTTAGCTGTCATCCTTTACTCCACTTGCAGACATGTGCCTGAGTTTGTCAGAGCACAGTGGCAACAGAATTTGGATTCCATGAAATACACACATCAGGAAGAAATAAAGGCCTTGTCTACACACATATTGCTAGTTACCAGCAAGAATGTAAAAAGGGAAACAAGCAACAAGAAAATTAAAAGAGAGAAACATCTTTACTCTGACTGGACAACACACTTTTTTCATAATCAAGGTGTTAAAATCTGCTGCTGCTGAGATAAAACCACTGACTTCAGCAGCTAAGATACAGTTACTCACCCCGGTAGAGTCCAAAGAAGCCCTCATAACGCAAGACTTTCTTAAAACAGTCAAAGCTGTTTTTGTACATCAGCTCCCCAACAACAGAGCCAGTGCCACGCTGGTTTTGCATGCGGGTCTTCACCAGATCTATAGGATATACTGCAGTGGCTCCCACAGCTACAAAGAAAACAAGTTTTACCCTTAGAAGAGAGCGCAATTAAATGGAGGCTCTTTAAGGACAACAAATCTCATCTCAAAGGACTAAAAAACAAAACACGGTATCTATTCTCACAAAAGAGACTGTATGTTATTCTTCCTTCTTCCATACACTGCTGAAGGATGACAGGCTAGCATTTGGGACCCATAAATACAGCTGCTTCAGAGAACAACTGCGTGCATTTTCAAGTCATTACCAACGTTAAGTCATCAAGACTTGATTTCCACAACATGAAACTATTATATATTTCTTTATACTTTCCATTCAATGCCTAAATATTATACCATTTACCCTTTAAAATAACCATATGTGTAGAAACAGGTAGCTATAATTTTAAAACTTAGTTTACTAAAGCATTTTGGTAAATTACTCTTAGTTATAACCATAATATTGGAACCACATCTCAACATGACCCTATCCCTTTGTACAGAATTTGTGTTTTTGGCCTTTTTTAATGCCAGGCTTTAGGATTTCTGACACTGAAAAAATTATAAAATGAAGTGGAGTGTTATTTTTCAACTGTTGAAAACCAAAACATGGGGGCGCCTGGGTGGCGCAGTCGGTTAAGCGTCCGACTTCAGCCAGGTCACGATCTCGCGCTCCGTGAGTTCGAGCCCCGCGTCAGGCTCTGGGCTGATGGCTCGGAGCCTGGAGCCTGTTTCCGATTCTGTGTCTCCCTCTCTCTCTGCCCCTCCCCCGTTCATGCTCTGTCTCTCTCTGTCCCAAAAATAAAATAAACGTTGAAAAAAAAAATTAATTAAAAAAAAAAAGAAAACCAAAACATGTTCTGCAACTTCTAAAACTGAAAAGGAAAAAACAATAGTTTCATCAGTTCAGGCTTGTTTTGAAAAATCATAAGCATTTTAATCACACCTCCTAGGATCTTCTCAACAAAGCTACTTCAGATTCTATACATTTTCTATGGAAAGATGTAAGAAAAAAAAAAGTCTCTCAAATGTTGCCTAGGAGCAGGGACTAGGGGTTCATTTTAGCAAATACTAACTACAAGTCTAGATAATTCTTTAGCCAGTAAAGAGGGAGAGGGAAAAAAAAAATACAAGTAGAAAAGCTACAGTGAATCAATCACTTTAGGAGGCTGTTTTGTTTTGTAAGGTTCTGGGGTTTGTATACCTGCCTCACCCCCAACACCATTATTCCATTTCTTCACACTGTCTTAACAGGATAATTAAGGCGAGTGCAGCACGCATGCAGACTTTCACTTTATTACAGGGGTTTGTTCTGAAGACACACTGGAGCCAGAGGGGCCACAGCTGTGTTGCGACAATCCTCTCATCACAGGTAGAAATAAAGGACACTGCAGAAAGCTCTGTAGTTATGACCCGCAGGAACTAGAAACTGCACCTTTGCTGACCTGTCTCAGTCTAGTGAGATAGTACTGAATTAACACAAGCTTGAGACAGCACACAGACATGTCACTCACCTCCAGCAACTGAGCCCAGAGTGAATCTGTAAGCAGACTCGGCAATCTGGAGCCAGATCGGCCTGCCTAAACCGTGCGATTGCTGCAGGGAGGAAAAAATAGGTAAAGACACTTGGAAAAGTATATGGCAAATAAAAAAGGCTACAATTCAGCTACTTATGATTTTAAAATAGATACCTTGATTAGCCTAAGAGACACAGTTGCCTTCTTCTCGCCCCGTTTTTTAATAAGCCTATTAATACCTGATTTCTCTAATATTGGAGAATACACTATCATTCCAGAGAAGTGAATCTTTCGGGTAAATAAATGTCTCGAGTAAAAAATCTTTCCCCCTTCTTTAGCTAACTTAAAATTTTAAAATATTTCAAAAATGGGGGCCACCTGGGTGGCTCAGTCAGTTAAGCATCCAACTTCATCTAAGGTCATGATCTCACAGTTCGTGAGTTTGAGCACCGCATTGGGCTTGCTGCTGTCAGCATGGAGCCTGCTTTGTATCCTCTGTCTCCCTCTCTCTGCCACTTCCCCGCTCTCACTCGCTCGCTCTCAAAAGTAAACATTAAAAAAATATATTTCTAAAAGGTACACAAACTATCTTGATTCCTAAATCAGAGAATACTGATGATAAAAAACACCTTCTCTAATGACTGAAAGTCATCAGATTCCTAGGTCCATCAATTACTGCATCAAGATGTAATGCACCTGTTGGTGCTATCTTCCCATGCCTCAAGGCCATTACTTCTTTCACCAACAGCCTCCTGGTTGGATTTGGTTTGGCCGCCTATCGCCTCTTTTCTTAAGGCTGGAGCAGTCACACAACTAGGATTGTTATGTATATGTAGGTGAAGCAAAGTCAAATGCTTCTCTTTGGGACTAAAGTGAAAAACTTTAAAAACTACAGTTTTAAGAGTTCAGAGTCTTGGCCCCCTTACTTCTGGCTTTACAAGCTCACCACTGAGGTTATCACTAGTTAACCACGTATTTCTGAACCATGTTACTGAGCATTTTCTTTCCTAGACCTATGTATTCTCCAGCTATACCTATCCAAAGAAAGGCTTTAAAAAATAAGTCTCTGGGGCCTGGAGCTTACTATTTTTTAAAGGCTTTAAATCATTCTGCTATGTAGTTAGGCTGAAAACTATCCTAGCTACCCACATTTATAGTTACAACATAGGATTTATGATGATAACAATGCAAAGGAAAAAACCCTATTGTGACTCAGAATGTTATTTCATAGGTAACCCACAACATAAAGGATCTAAAATAATTGGTCTATACTAGTCTGCCAGTCTTGTTCTTTAATATATTCTTTATGAAAACAGCAGTTATGCTGCATAAACAGTTTGAAATGAAAGAATAAAATATTTGGTTTATTATAAAGAAAACTTGAAAAATATTAACTTGGAATGAGCTTTTTTAAAAAACCTGCATAATAAAAAGCTTAGATACGCTCATTAGAATAATTTAATGGAGAGGGAATCCATGCCTAAAATCTAAAAGAAAGAAAAAAAGCTAGTCTACTCTGACTTGCTTTCATCTGTACAATCTCTTCAAAGCTCAATTAATCAAGATAAATATGACAAACCTGGATATTTACAAATAATTTGAGAAGCAGCCTATAGAAAGGTTTTATTTGGTTGTTTTGTAAATCTTGAATCACAATACACATCTTTTCAGTTTTTAACCAAAGCATGTGATACCTAAATGTTTAATGTTTGATTGTGATCTCTGCAGGCAGAGATCTTTTAAAAGCTCATTATGCTTAAAAAAGAAAAAAAAAAAAAAAGCTCATTATGCTTGCCAGTGCTGTGGTTCAACAAATTCTATAGTAAAAAGGAAAATAAGTAATGTATGATGAAAAGTCAAAATGAAACCCAGAGAAAACCCTTGGCAAAAAAAATTGGTAAAACACCATTATTTCAAATATCAGTACATATTTTATAAAGCTCAACTATCACAATATACTAACTTTATTATAATCCATTGCGTGAAAGTATATACCTATTACGTACAAAACTGAATTTAGCATGTGGAAGAAACCATCATGAAAATGGTGGAAAATTACAGAGTAGGACATTATCATGATCTTGTAGGAAATACATTTTTTCCTACCAAGTTAGCCCAGACAACTGCATTGCCATCCATTGTGTTTAATTTATGTACTGTAACAAAAGTGAGCAATAAATAGAACTGATATTTATATCTGAAATCAAATAAGGGAAAGAGTAGGATATTTTAACAAAACCTTAATATAAGCATAATTTGATTCTTTCATAGAAGAGCAAATGGGCCATCCAAAAAGACAATTACTTTTTGTTCTCTTTATCACTACAATAACAACACTAATTTTAGACTGTTTAGAGATTTACTATCTCCCAAAGGGTGAAAGTACTTTACCAAGCAGCATTCAAGACCTGTGCTCTAATGCAGCCACTGGGGGGCCCAGTGTTTCTCAATCTTCTGTAAATAAACTCCCTTTGAGACCACCAGGATGGTCTAACCCACAGTGAGACCACAAAGTACTAATTTCTCAGTCAGTCCACTGTGCATTTAAAGGTAAGATGGCCATACTAAGGACAGGACAAGTGACAATAAAGGTCTCATAGTGAGATGGGGAATAAGCAGACCCGTGGCCCTAGTCACCCCACTGCATTCTCCACCATTATTTAAGTAAATAGTTTCAACAACCGTTTATGAATGAATACTCCTGCCAACCAAAGATTATGATTTCATTTATAAATTATATACATGATCCATCGTACTAATATCTATATAAATATAAGTAATAGGTTTTATTAAATTACACATAATATGCATTGTACACTTGATCTTAGCCAAAAGGGCAAGAAGCGATTACATTGTAAACATCTACAAAAGTAAAAGTTATAAAAGAATGAGATCAGAGGTGCCTGGGTAGCTCAGTCAGTTAAGTGTCCAACTCCAGCTCAGGTCATGATCTTGCAGTTTGTGAGTTCAAGCCCCGCGTGGGACTCTGTGCTGACAGCTTGGAGCCTGGAACCTGCTTCAGGTTCTGTGTGTCCCTCTCTCTCTGCCCCTCCCCCACTCATGCTCGGTCTGTCTCAAAAATAAATAAACATTAAAAAACAAAAAGAATGAGATGGTATAAAATAATTTTCAAAAAAATTTATTTTCATTTACTAAACCAAAAATCTTTTTGATATCACTTCAACGTATTATATTGACTATGTTCAGTTAGTTTTTTAAACGTTGATTGAACAAAGCAAGGCTAACCAGTTACTTCTAATACTCTGTTTCAAAGATAGCACAGTGGAAAACACAGTGTGTGTCTTCAAGGTAAAGATAAGTTAAGAGTCTGTTTCTTGGACAGCAAAAATATTTTTAACTTCTAAAAACATGCACATAAAGCTTTATCCCAAAATGGAATTTCTCAATTACAAAACTGGGTGAAAACAGGCCTCGTTCTCATAGATTTATTATTTTCAGTCATGTCTCCTTTCAAAAAAATATGTTGAACTAAAACTCAAATAAGGGCTATGATCCCAAAAAAGAATAAAATTACCACAATTTTTTATTAATATAAAAAGCCTCTCCTGTGTTCATCACATATTTTCTTTACCCTCTCTCTTCCTTTACAAAATGTTTATGGATCAGGCAGTGAAGCATCCAATTTCAGCTCAGGTCATGATCTCACGGTTTGTGAGTTCGAGTCCCATGTCAGGCTCTGTGCTGACAGCTCAGAGCCTGGAGCCTACTTTGGATTCTGTCTCCCTCTCTCTTTGCCCCTCCCTCGCTCGTGTTCTGTTGCTCTCTCTCTCACAATTAAATAAGCACTTAAAAACTAATTTTTTAATTTTTTTCAACGTTTATTTATTTTTGGGACAGAGAGAGACAGAGCATGAACGGGGGAGGGGCAGAGAGAGAGGGAGACACAGAATCGGAAACAGGCTCCAGGCTCCGAGCCATCAGCCCAGAGCCCGACGCGGGGCTCGAACTCACGGACCGCGAGATCGTGACCTGGCTGAAGTCGGACGCTTAACCGACTGCGCCACCCAGGCGCCCCTAAAAACTAATTTTTTAATGTTTATAAGCCCTACATAATCCTATGAAAACTGAAGGATTACAATGTGTTTTGATTCTTAGCTAAAAACATCTCTAACTATAAACACCCAAATATGCAAATGCCTTTTGGCCTCTGCCCTTATTAAATAGCATTTATTTATTTTTTTAAATACAATATGGTCAGTAAGTTTTTCTCAAGCTTAGCTATCACTGTAACTTATGGTTCACTTGTATTCAGGTATGTAAATTAATATAATTAATGCTATGGATTTCACTTCATGAATATTCATAAGTAGAACGCTACTGTAGCTGTCATGCCTGTTAATGACTGTGTACTGAATTTTTAGCATTTAGACTGAAAGAAAATACTCAACAGTAAGAAGATCGCCTACCGTGAGCAAATGGGCCAAAGGAAAAGGCACTTTCCCTTAAGTTATGATTATGATCATGAAGGTGATATTTAACAAGATTAATTAAGTGTTTTTCAAAGCAAAATAAGAGTTGAGAATCTTAACTGATTTTTAACCTGTTCCCTAAGCACATGTGTATGATAGGAAATGACTTGAGACCTCATTTGGGTAGCAGAAAGTTCTTCTGCTTTTGTTGTTGAACATACCTCAATCTATAAATGAGAATGACCTAGAGCAAGATCATGCCACAAGTCAAGCTATGTGCCCAAACCACACTACTTCAGGTAGTATGTCAATCCAATGAAGAGAGCTACCTCTTCAAAACAGCATACTATTAATGGAGAGAAGAAAAGGAAAAGCTGAAGATGTTTATACTGACTATACGAGGTGGGGGAGAAAAAAGCTAGATTTTAATACCTACTGAGATGTACGATTGGAAAAATAAGGCTAGGGAAAATAGATTAACAAAATTCTTTTGCCAGTAAATCACACCTGAATTTTAATTCAATATTCTTGGCCTTACAAAACAAGATTTAAGAGTTGGTGGGTTTTGTGTTTGTTTTGTTTTTTTGATACCACATGTAAGTAAAATCAGATGATATTTGTCTTTCTTGGACCTATTTCACTTAGCATTAATACCCTCTAGGTCCATCCAAGGTGTCACAATTGGCAAGATCTCATTCCTTTTTATGGCTGAGTAATATTCGTGTGTGTGTGTGTGTGTACCACATCTTTCTCATCCATTCATCTACTGGTGGACACTTGGGTTACTTCCATATCTTGGCTGTTGTAAATAATGGTTGCCAAAGGGAATGTGTAGGGCGGGGGGGGGGGGAGGGAATGCAAAATAAAGGGGATTAAGAGGTATAAACTTCCAGTTATAAACTAAATCCGTCACAGAGATGAAAAGTACAGCATAGGAAATATAGTAATGTTATAAGCTATTTATAGACACATAATACTGAAAAATATCTTTTGAAATGCAACTTTTTCAAATTTCTAGAGCAAATTTTCATAAATGTATACCACAAAATGTAAAATTAAATTCACTAAGCTCTTTAAATATTTCAATATCTCAACCATTTAACAATTTTATTAAATTTTATTATAAATCAATGAATTGGAATAAATCCATCTATTTTTTAAGGACCTGAGAACGTACAGTGGAAATAAACTTTGATGGCAGCAGGTAAGAATTCTTTGCTACTAAAGAAGCTAAATTGTAAGGAGTTACAGATATATCTTAATCTACAGAAAGCTTTGTTACACTCCAAACAAAGTATTAACATAAAATGTAGATATAAAAGCAAAATTTTCCATTTTCAATCTACTTACCTGACTACAAACATTCTTATTTATTATGAAAAGTAGAACTAGATATCCTAATTAGCTTTAGAAGCAGAAACATCATTTCATGGAGCACAAGTAGAAGAAAAACTTCCTACCAAAATTTCCCAAAGTGAACCACACTTAACATGCCTTGATGTTTTACTAGCACATGTGGCTATTCACCTATGTGGCAGTAATGAGGAAAAAACAGACTTGGGCTCTTTCTGTGGCATGCCCATTTAGTGTTTTCTCTCTCTCCTTTTTTTCCTGTCTTCTTCCCTATCTCCCCACACCCTTTCAATGTCTCATACGGCACAAGTCTCCTCAGGAATCATGTGGGACACAAGCATTGTCTATGACAGCAGGGAAATACCGGGTGACAGGGAGGAGCCCTCCTAACCCTCACCCCACACACAAAGCCATGTGACCATAACTACAACTGGGGCCTCCTCCAAGTGCCACAGAAGTGAAAGTTTCAATTTAAAACAAGACTTAAAAAGAAAAGAAAAGAAAAATAACTGTGCCATTGTACTCTTCCATGTAATATCATGGGGTTTATTTTCCCACTGAGGTAGTATTTTTGTAATCAGAAATGGGACTGTATTAACTTTATGGGACTCAGAAGCTATTGTTTAGATCATCCTTTAAGAAAAAATGCTAATATTTTATTTAAAAAATGTAGTAATATTCAAGGTTGTCTTTCTGGCTCATTACTTATATAGTTTTCCTGTGTTATTATTGTAATCTATAAAGCATGATCTCAGTGAAAGATGTACTTCATTAGAAGAATGTTTTGTATTTTTAAAGCCCTATAAATATCAGTCTAATTTTTCAAAGTGAACTTAACACTAATCTTTAAGTGTCACCACACAAGTGAAAGGAAGACTGCTAGTTCTAGGGAGGAGTCAAGCCCGTGTATGTCTGCACTCTCATTTCCCTTATCTTAATAAAGAAAAAAACACAAACATAAATTTAGGTCCCCATAAAAATAGTCCATGAGGGTGGGAATAACAGTTGCAATCTTTGAGCTAAGTAGAGACTTTTTCTGGACAGTTTTTAATTTTCATAGCATTCAGGAACTTTAGGCTGTCATGTACATACTATTTCAGCATTTTTGAAGGTGATTCTATTTATGAGACTCCTCCTACCTGTCTCTGAAGTTCTGCCAGGTTGTAAGGCAAGGCTCCCTCAGCCAACGGAGCTATTCTCTCAATATCTGCCAAAGTCAAGCGCCTTCAGGCAAAAATATGGGGAAGAAAAAACTGTTAGACACCAACAAACTCCTCATACCAAGATCATATTTCTTCAGAAAAAAAGAAGATGGGAAAAGAACTAGGCTTTTTTATTTTTTTAACCTTTTTATTCATTTTTGAGAGACAGAGAGAGAGAGACAGAGCATGAGCAGGGGAGGGGCAGAGGGAGAGAGGGAGACACAGAATCCAAGGCAGGCTCCAGACTCCCAGCTGACAGCACAGTGCCCAGTGCAGAGCTTGAACCCACGAACCAAAAGATCATGACCTGAGCCAAAATCAGAGGCTTAAATGACTGAGCCACCCAGGTGCCCCAAGAAGCATGTTTTAAAAAAAATTTTTTAATGTTTATTCATTTTTTGAGAGAAAGAGTGTGAGTGGGAGGGTGGGGGACAGGAAGAAAGGGAGACACAGAATCCAAAGCAGGCTCCAGGCTCTGAGCTGTCAGCACAGAGCCTGACTCACGGCTCAAACCCACGGACCTCAAGATCATGACCTGAACTTAAGTCAGATGCTTAGCTGACTGAGCCACCAGGCACCCCAAGAATGATGCTTTAAAAGTAGTATTTCTTGGGGCGCCTGGGTGGCTCAGTCAGTTGAGCATCTGACTGTTGATTTCGGCTCAGGTCATGATCCCAGGGTTGTGGGATGGAGCCCCTGTGTCGGTCTTGGTGCTGAGCCTGGAACCTGCTTAAGATTCTCTTTCTCTCTCTCTCTCTCTCTCTCTCTCTCTCTCTCTCTCCCCCTCTCCCTCTCTCTCTCTTCCTCTGCCCCTCTCCCCTACTCACGCTCTAAAATAAACATAATAGTAAAATAAAGTAGTATTTCTCTATTCACTCAGATCATCTTAGTGAAAAAAAAATCTCCAAACCCAGGATCCCACAACAAAAAGCAAAAGATCTCAGAAAAATAATATGTACTACACAAATTTAATAATACTCCAATGGTAGATACTAAAAGTAAAGAACTAATCCTTGTTAGAAGTAAAGTATAGACATTGACAGTTCATACATACTAAGTGTATTCCCTTAGGGTACATATTTAATGCATAGGTACAAAGTATCTTGAGAAGGACAAATACAAAACTGATGAATACTGGTTGCCTTTAAGGAAAGGCACAAGGATAGAAGAGATACTTTTTTACAGCATGCTCTTTTAAGCTCTGAATTTTGAACCCTGTACTACTGTTTCCAAAAAATTTACTTAAAAATAAGTACATTCCATGAACCAGGTAGATCACTTCAGATCCAGTTTTGAAAAGCATTTTTTGAAACCATTTATTATCTTATAAAGGTGGCACAGAACCTCTGCTAAAAATGTGAATTCTAGATGAATGAGACATGGCCTGATATTTCATGTCAATCACCAAAGACTGGATGGCATTTTTAGTATCATCTCCAGACCAATAATTCATTATGTAGCATAAAGGCAATAAATCACCCATATATACCCAGATTCTAATAGTCCTCAGCTCTAGGGTTAAAACCCATTTTTCGTTTATATACACAATGGAATACTACGTGGCAATGAGAAAGAATAAATATGGCCTTTTGTAGCAACGTGGATGGAACTGGAGAGTGTTATGCTAAGTGAAATTAAGTCATACAGAGAAAGACAGATACCATATGTTTTCACTCTTATGTGGATCCTGAGAAACTTAACAGAAGACCATGGGGGAGGGGAAGGAGGAAAAAAAAAAGAGTTTAGAGAGGGAGGGAGACAAAACATAAGAGACTCTTAAAAACTGAGAATAAACTGAGGGTTGATGGGGGGTGGGAGGGAGGGCAGGGTGGGTGATGGGTATTGAGAAGGGCACCTTTTGGGATAAGCACTGGGTGTTGTATGGAAACCAATTTGACAATAAATTTCGTATTAAAAACAAAAACAAAGACGAAAACCATTTTTCGGATATTCCTACACTTAAAAAAATCTTGCAACCTAACATAAGAGCATAAGTCCCGCATCCCACAAATCCTGCCCAGAGATGAAGGTTTTTCTTTTGGATTTACAAAAGAACTTCACAAATCAAAAACTCTCAATGTGCTTTGGTTATTTTAGTCTATAAAGTGGAGGCATTAGGGGTCCCTGGGTGACTCCGTCACATAAGCATCCGACTACTGATTTCATCTCAGGTTATGATCTCACGGTTCATGAGATCGAGTCCTGAGCTGGGCTCTGCACTCATAGTGCACTACCAATGCAGAGCCTGCTTAGGATTCTCTCTCTCTCCCTCTTTCTCTGCCCTTCCCCCACTCACATGCACATGCTCTCTCTCTCTCAAAATAAAATTAAAAAATTAAAAAATAGAATGCAGGCATAAAATATCTGAGCTTGACTATGATGATAACCATAATGATAACGTCACGAACATATTTCAAGAAATGATACCTTCCAACACAAAATGATACATACTATTCTGTAAAAATGACCATTTGTGAATGAACCAAAAAGATTATAAGACACCTGGACATGTACTGCAGTTTAATTTATAAATGTAGGCAAATTTTCACAAATCTCTTACATTTAATCGAGTCCAGATGAAATCAACTTTTCCCCATTCCTCTCTTACTTCTCACTCCCCCTCACTCTCGTGTGTCTTCTGTCCCCTATCTCCCTCTCACAAGTCCCATGAGCTCTTACTCTCTTCTTTTACCTCCCTCTCTCCCTCTCTTCCCTCCTTTTCTCTTCTCCTCCTTGCTCTTTTCCCCTCTTGCTCTCTCTCCCTTTCCCTTCATTCATTCCCCCCAACCTAAACGTCTGTCTTCCTCTGTCTCTCCCTCCTCCCGTTTCTCATTTGGCCTCTCTCTCTTTCTTGGAATTTGTAGACTGAATTAACAACCGTAAAATGAACTGAAAGCATACCCCTGCTTCACATGTTACAGGAACTGTCCTATAATAAATATCATGAAGAATTATTGGAATAGTTACCCTGTAGCATTATATAAGTCTGCAAGTTGGTAGAGGATATCAATTTCTAGTGGAGTGACTTGTCCATAGCGTATGGCACTCTGGGCAAACTCCTCTAGAAGAAAAAGAAAGAATTGAAAATCTTAAAACATTCTTAACATGCTTCTAGTTTAACCAACTATCCTCTGAAAGCTAAAGGCATTTTAGAATTATTTTAAAAATCTAAAACTGAATTTAAATACCTAAGTTCCACTATGAAAGTTTGAAAGCCGGCAAAAGATAAAATGTTAACACAAGGAACCAGCAAAAACAAATTTATTTCAAAGATAAAACAGTCTCTTTAGAATCCTCTCTCTTATCTTGTTTATTTGCTTTCGTCTCCAGAGTCACAAGATGAAAGACGTGCTATTCTCCAACCAACGAAAACACCCTACTACAACACAGCAAAAAGAGGAGGCTTGCCCATCTTTCTGCCACAACTCCCTCCTAGTACAAACAAGTTTCGGCCACACTGCCACTAGCCGGTTTGACAGACTGGACCAAGGTTCTTTTCAAAACTGTCAGGGCTGCTTTTTTATTCCTGACCCCAGCACCCCATTAAATGCACCTGGATTTTTGAAGACCACTACCGCCCAAGTGAAGCATACGCACACCCTAACACACTCTCTAGATCTGGCTTCAGAGTGGTAAACTTAGGTCAGCTTCATGCCCTAGATAAAGAAAAGTGAAAATGCACATTCCAATCAACACACAGTTTTGAAATCTTACCCTTTGTGACTTCGACATCTTTCCTTGTGCCAGCTAAAGTGCTATATATCTTACGAACAAGCTCCATGTTATTCAGTAAGGAGTTAAATGCATTGAAGTAGGAGAAGCTAACCTGGTGTGAGATGCTGCCTCCAGCTGCCTAGGAAATGACAACAGGAAAAGTTTATAAACAGTAAGCAAAAACAAATAAAACACGTTTAAGGACACTACACTTTTCTCAAAGAAGATCCCAAGTAGTCTTCATTATTAAAGTGATTAACAACCAGTCCATAAATACAAAGAAAGTATCCTACTGAAACACTCAGTGCATTTCACGCCCTCAGGGAGGTCTATGTAATTTAGGTTTTAAGGAAGAAAGCAACATCTGGAAGTTGGACTTCACGGTTCATCTACCTATAAGGTCAGAAACAACAAATACAATTATCACAGATCAAAAATAATGGTTATTTAAACAGGATTTTCAAGATCCTCAACTATGAACTCTTGCTAGTCTAGGATAATTCAAACATCAATGTACAATACAGAGTATTTTTTAAACTTGCTTTTTTCCATACACAAAAACCAGTGGTAACTTTATATTTTAAAACTATTTCACAATATCAACTTTCCTAATTGTTTTCTTTTTTTAAAGACCACTACTATAATTAAGATATTTAACAGTCTGAATCTGCATCACGAAAGGTACAACTACCAAAAACTCCAAAAAATGTAGAGAAAATCTAGGGAGCATTTATTCACTATAAATTACATCTTTAGTGGAACAGTGCAAAAGAGGCTCTCTTGTGCCTGGGGAGTGATGGGGGTGGGGGGCAATCTGGCCTTCATTACCTCTGCAGGGTGAAGAGGTAAGTTCTCCCTCTGCCCAGCACTTGGATATAAACTCAAAAGAGAACATTTTTCATAGTTTGCAAAAGCCTAATTTCTAAGCCAGGAGTCAGAGGAACCCATGTGATTAAAAACATTCTCTAATAAAAACTCAAAGAAATACTTATGGAAATACCAGTGTGACCTTAATCACAAAGGTCTACTAAGAATAGTGTAGGTAATGATGGGCAAATGTACCCATCCCTCACATACATGCTTTAACCCAAATATAGATGGTATTTGTATTAGCTTGAATTTGGATGCCAGTGACCCAAAAGGAGAACTCAAATTATTTAATACATTCCTTCAGGGACTGAAATGGCATTTGGTAAGTTGAAGCTATAATAGGTCTATGTAACCCAATTGGAAAAGATTAAATGGGTCCCCTCATTCCAAGGCAATGAGAGTCCCCCTCTGTAGGATTTTCTTTCCTTTCTCTCCCCCCCCCCCACCCTTTCCTCCTTCTCTTCCTTTCTTTCTGTCCTTCTCTCATTTTTTGGCTAGGGTATGAGGTAAGGGTTCAGGGAGTGGGAGATGGGTGTCAAGGAGGTGAAATGTGTAGGACAAAGTGACATGCTCCATGTTCAAATTCACTGAAGAAAAAGAACAGAAGTTGATCTTTCTACCCCGGTCTAAATCAGGGATAATGATCTTCAGCTGAAACAACAAAAGCACTCACTGGCTTCCCTCCACATAAAACAAGCAGCAATCAAAAACTTATACATAAGTACAATGCACGAACAAGAGAACTGGTAAGTGAGGAAAGTTTCAGCACTCTTTGTGAGGAAGTGAATGACATCAGTTTGCTATTGGTCCAGATGATTACTTTATAGAGATTAGCAGTTTGACAGAACAAAAAAACCGTCTGGTCCATGCAGACTGAATGCACAGGTGAAGGGGCAGAGAGAGGAGGGAGCCACATTGGCTGATGCCCACATATTTCCTCCATACCTTCTGCCACGGCCATGGTTATTAAAACAGTGTAGAGGCCAGTGATGATTCCTCTAGCAAACAGCACCCTGCAGGCAACAAAGGAAGGAGCCATCTTTATAGCAAGGCTTTGGGAGCCTGGTGGGATGGAAAAAGGCCAAGGTGAAGGCAGCAGTGTCTGGGCAAAGTACTGCCCTGCCCACTGGGAAAAGTAATTGCACACCCCTGTCTACAAACTCCCTTGTTTTCTTTCACTGGACTCTGTAAATGGAAATAAACAATTTAGAAATATAGGAGAGCACGATGGTGGCTCTGAAAAAAACTTGATCCGGGAAAGACTATTCACCATCACAGCACTCCCACCTCCCTTACACATACCTGTTTACCTTCTACCAACCAAACATTAAGTTAGAATAGTTGACAGTCAGGTGTGTCCAAGGAGGTGAGCCAGGACCCAATGGTTCAAAAATGTTAAGGAAAGAGAAAATTGAAGTACTTGCTTTCTACTTACTGAAACTAAATTCTCCTCCACAAAGGGAGTGAGCATGTGAGACCGAATGGTAACCATGATGTCACTGAAATCCAGACCAGAAATCATGCCACTTTTGCTTTTGTCTTTCAGTGCAAAGGCTTGTCTTGCATGTTCCAGCTGCAGCTCCTAGAGGGAAGTTAGAAATAGAACCGTAGATTGGTTAAAGCACATCCCAACTGCATGTTTTGAAAAAGGAGGACATTCTTCCCTTGCATGCACTTACTACAGAAATGAACACTGCACAGCTCTGAATTTACAACAAAACTTTTAATTTCTTTTAAAAAGCACGTTTTCCTGAAAATGTACTACACAGTACTCCTCAGGAAGAATGAATCGTAGCATGACAATAAAGAAAGAGGAGGAGGAAAAAAACCTTAATGCACTTGAAAAGTTTTCAACACTGAACCGTTCTTAGTGTTTTAATTCAGCTTTTAAAATGTATTCTTTCTGGGGCGCCTGGGTGGCGCAGTCGGTTAAGTGTCCGACTTCAGCCAGGTCACGATCTCGCGGTCAGTGAGTTCGAGCCCCGCGTTGGGCTCTGGGCTGATGGCTCAGAGCCTGGAGCCTGTTTCCGATTCTGTGTCTCCCTCTCTCTCTGCCCCTCCCCCGTTCATGCTCTGTCTCTCTCTGTCCCAAAAAAATAAACGTTAAAAAAAATTTTTTTTTAAAATAAATAAATAAATAAAATGTATTCTTTCTTGCTTGAAGGCATTCTTATCCAAGGGTACCTTTTTTTTTTTAAGTTTATTTATTTCAGAGAGAGAGAGAGAGAGTGGGGGGGCAGGGGGATGGCAAGCAGGAGGCACAGAGAGAAAGGAAGAGAGAGAATCTCAGGCAGGCTCTGTGCTGCCAGTGTCTCCCAAGGGTACTTTTTGGAATAAAAGTTTAGATTTGGGGTACCTGGGTGGTTCAGCCAGTTAAACGTCAGACTTGCTTTCAGCTCAGGTCATGATCTCACGGTTTGTGGGACTGAGCCGTGTGTCAGTCTCCGCACTAACAGCGCAGAGCCTGCTTGGGATTCTCTCCCTCTCTCTCTCTCTCTCTGCCCTTTGCCCATTTGCACTCTCTCTCTCAAATGAGCAAACTTAAAAAAGTTTAGATTCATTTTCAGTATTTCAATGTAATACTGTAATTAAAGGGTCTCTTTTTCTCTCTCAATGAATTAGACACCATTTTTCAAACAATTTTTAAAACATGAACTTAGAAAGTCTACTGACTGGTAAGAGCAATAATTAGTAATTCTAACATGAAAGCTATAAATAACAAACTGATAACTAGTGTTCAACTATCACTGTCTGGCTTGGGCAGCAGTTACTCATAAACTGTAAAATAATCCAGAAGATCACTGAACTTTTCAATTATTCAGCAGTCACATTTTGTCATAAATGATATCAATAAAAACAATAAAACGTGCCAGTAACATGCTGAATACTATACAAAAGTGAAAAGTGGAGCATTTCTGCACTGAGGACCTATGACATAATCCAAATAAATCTGTTACCACAACATAACAATGGTGCTATTGGGTACCATTTTCACACTATTTGCAACTCTAAAAATAATATTCATATCTAAATATATATTATTCAGATACAATACTGCAATTTTCATTACCATATTTATACAAGACTACAAGTCAATGTTGTTTTTTCTGATATTTAAAAGTTTTGGTAGCGGGGTGCTTAGGTGGCTCAGTTGGTGGAGCATCTGACTTTGGTTCAGATCATGATCTCATGGTTCGTGAGTTTGAGTCCCATGTCGAGCTCTTGGCTGACGGCTGGCATACTGGAGCCTGCTTCAGACTCTATGTCTCCCTCTCTCTCTGCGCCTCCCCTGCTCATGCTCTCTCTAAGTAAATAAACATTTAAAAAAATTTTTTTTAACAGTTTTGGAAAAAGTCTCATTACTTTACTAATTTATTTTCCTATGGGCTTGTGATAGTTCATTGGTAATTCAAAGACATTTAAATTACCTTAGGTTTGTCTTATAATTCATTAAACTATGTATTTGTTTTATGTGGCTTTCTAGATTTTATTTGTATGCTATTTAATAAGTTTTAAAAATATTTTTTCTTAGCAGGTTGGCAGGCTAGAGACAAGTATATCAAACCTATTAAATCTTCCAATAGTCTTAAAAAAATTAAATAAGAATACTGAGGGAAACATCTAAGGTATTTTAACATCTATCACCCAACATCTAAATGTTTGGATTTTTTTGAAAAGACAACAGAAGTGGAGAAACTAAAACTCAATTGGTAAATATGAAAGAGTACAAAATAAACAACCAGCATGATATGACAAAGTTGTCTCTTCCCTACTCCTACTTTTTTATTTTTTATTTATTATTTTTTTTACCCTACTCCTACTTCTTTAAAATTTCAACTCTACTGAGATAAAAGTGACAAAATTGTGATATATAAAAAGTGTGCAACATGATTTGATACATGTATACATTGGGAAAGGAGTCCCACCAAGTTAAGTAACATATCCATCACCTCAGTTACCTTTTTTTATAGGAACACTCAAGTTCTACTTCCTTAGCAAATTTTAATTATACAACACAGTATTATTACCCATAGTAACCATGATATACATTACATTCCCAGACCTTATTCATGTTATAATGGAAGGTTTGTATCCTTTTTCCAGCCTCCGCCCCCCTACCCACCCACCCCCACCCTGCCCCTGTCAACCACTATTCTCTCTGTTTCTGTGTTCAACTTTTTTTTAAGGTTCTACAAAGAAGCAATCCCTTGTAGTAGGTCTTTCTTTGGCTTATTTCACTTAGTATAATGCCCTCCAAGTTCATCTGAGTTATTGCAAATGGCAGGATTTCCTTTTTTGAGTGAACAATATTCTATTGTGTGTGAATACACACACATTTTTCTTTACTCATTCACCTCTCAATGGACACTTAGGTTGTTTCTATGTACAACAAACATGGGAGTACAGCTATTTCTTTGAAATAGTGATTTTTGTTTCCTTTGCATACATACCCAGAAGTGGGGTTGCTGGATCACCTGGTGGTTCTATTTTTAATTTCTTGAGGAACCTCCAGACTGTTTTCCATAGTGGCTGCACCAATTTACTTTCCAACAATGTACAGGGTTCCCTTTTCTCCATATCCTTGCCAGCATTTGTTGTCTTTGGTCTTTTTGATAATAGAGATCCTAACAAATATGAAGTAACATCTCACTATGGTTTCGATTTGCATATCCCTAATTAGTGAGACTGAGCAACTTCTCATATACTTCCTGGCCATTTATATGTCTTCTTTGGGAAAATGTCTATTCAGGTCTCTTATCCATTTTTAGTTTTTATAATTAATTAACTTATGGAGTTGAAAGTGTTGTTCACATCCTATATATATGTGTATGTGTGTGTGTGTGTGTGTGTGTGTGTATGTATGTATATATGTATGTATCTGGGATACATACATATGTATATATGGACATATATGTGTCTGTGTATATATATATATATATACATGTACATATACGTGTGTATATATGTGTGTCTGTATATATATACATATATACGTGTATATATATATATACGTGTGTATGTTACTGTGTTGTAAAGTTCCCTACATATTTTGGATATTAGTCCCTTATTAGATATGTGGTTTGCAAATATTTTCTGCCATTCCATTGGCTGCCTTTTCATTTTGTTGATGGAGTCCTTTACTGTGCAGCTTTTTGGTTTGATGTGGTCCCACTCGTTTATGTTTGCTTATGCTGCCTTTGTTTTCAGTGTCTAATTCAAAAAATCATTGCCAAGACTGAAGTCAAGGAACTTACCCCACTATGTTTTCTTCTAGGAGTTTAAAGTTTCAGGTCTCATGTTCAAGTTTTTAATCTATTTTCAGTTGTTTTTTCTGTCTGGTATAAGATAGGAGTCAAGTTTCATTCGTTTGCATATGGATATCCAGTTTTCCCAACACCATTTATTGAAAAGACTACCCTTTCTGCATTGTTTATTCTTAACTCCTTTGTCAAAAATGAATGATCATATATGCATGGGTTTATTTCTGGATTCTCTTTCTGTTCCACTGATCGATGTGTCTGTTTTTGACAATACCATACTGTTTTGAATACTATAGCTTCATAATTTGAATTTTAAAAATGTGTTGTCTCCAGCTTTGTTCTTCTCAAAATTGCCTTGGCTATTTGGGTCTTTTGTGGTTCCATACAAATTTTAGGACTGTTTTTTCTATCTCAGTGAAAAGGCCCACTGGAATTTTGATAGTGACTGTATTGAATCTATAGACCACTTTGGGTATTACATTTTAACATTAATTCTTCTAATCCATGAACATGGAATATCTTCCCATTTATTTGTGTCTTAACTTCTTTCATCAACATCTTACAGTTTTTAGTGACCAGATTTTTCACTTCCTTGGTAAAATATATTCTCAAGTATTTTATCCTTTTTGATATTCTATAAATGGGATTTTCTTAATTTCTCTTTTCAGTAGTTCATTGCTAATGTATAGAAGTGCAACTGGGGGCGCCTGGGTGGCTCAGTCGGTTAAGTGGCCGACTTCGGCTCAGGTCACGATCTCACAGACTGTGAGTTCGAGCCCCGCGTCGGGCTCTGTGCTGACAGCTCAGAGCCTGGAGCCTGTTTCAGATTCTGTGTCTCCCTCTTTCTGACCCTCCCTCGTTCATGCTGTCTCTCTCTGTCTCAAAAATAAATGAACGTTAAAAAAATTAAAAAAAAAAAAAACCTAATTAGAAGTGCAACTGTTTTTGATTGTGTACCCTGAAACTTTAAGTCATTTATTAGTTCTAACAGTTTTTGATGGGTTTGTGTGCATGTGCGTGTGCGTAGTCTTTAAGGGTTTTCTATATCTAATATCATGTCATCTGCAAAAAGGGACAATTTTATTTTTTCCCTTCTAATTTGGATGTCTTTTACTTCTTTTTCTTGACTAATTTCTCTGGCTAAAACTTCTAGTACTTTTTTGAATAAAAGTGGTAAGAATATGCATCCTTGTTTTGCTCCTGGTCTTTGAGTAAAAGCTTTCAGCTGTTCACTGTTGAGCATGATGTGAGCTATGGGCTTGTCATATAGGGCCTTTATTTTGTTGAGGTATGTTCCATCTGTACCTAATTTGCTAGGCAC